TTCTGACTACTGCCTCTTGGTCCAAGTATAGGTTTCGCATTAGCACAATTAAATGTTCTGGGATTCCCATTCTTCTCAGAGTCAGCCACAGTTTCATTATCTTGTGTTAACCCAGGAAAGGCAATGTACTGTAAGGGGTAATCATTGTAATTCTTGGACTATTAATTGCAATGTAGCTAATACCTCAAATTACAGTGTAACTAGTGTCTTAAGTGATTGTCATTTAATGTTATAAAGCAAAATATGGATGATTGAATAAAAAATGAATATGATTTGTAAACTTTTTACTCTAATCACAATTTTTAAATAGACGTTAATAAAAATAAAGTCATTATTTACAAGAAGGCCCCACTTGCAGGCAGATTCCCCAGAGAAGCAGAGAGCTGCCTGCAGCCTCCAGCCCTGGTTCTGCTGGTTCTCAGCCCTTCTGAGAGGGACAGAGGCAGGTGGGCCCCTGCCACGGCAGAGGGGCTCTGGGGCCCCAAGTGGGCGGCTGGGGGAAGACCAGGGTTGGAAAACTACAAACTCAAAATCACTGCCTTTGAGTCCCAGCTGACCCTCCACTGTTGTTAGGTGTCGAGTCCACTACAACTCACAGTGGCCCTATGAACAGCGGACCTGAGCCCTGTCCTAGCCTGTGCCCTCCTCATCATCTCAGACACACTCGAGCCCACTGCTGTACGGACTGTGTCAGTCCACCTCGATGAGGTTCTTCCTCTCACTGAGCCTCCGCTTGTCCAGCATGTCTTTTCTAAGGACTGGCCCTGCCTAACGTGTCCAAAATATACAACACGAAGATTCGCCATCCTGCTGCTGAGCACTCCGCCTGCACTTCCCCAGACATCTGCTGGTTCTCTTGGCAGTCCACGGGCTCTCAGCACCCTGCTCCAACACCACAGCTCAGGGGCATCAATTCCTCAGCAAGCGCCCAGCCTGCCAGTGCCCCACCTTTCCACAGGATGATGCCCACAATTTTCTTTTTCTCACTCTGATGCAAAAATGACAGGGACTCGTGCCGTCCAAATGGGTCAGAACGTGTGCTTCTAACACTCATCTGTTGACGACTGTCCCTTTCAAACTGCACAGTCCGAAGGCATCCATTCTTCCCCGGTCTTCCTGTGAGTGGTGGAGGTAGTGAAGCCTGCTGACTACACCTTGGACAGCCAGAGAGTGGACGCGTCTGTCTTGGAAGAAGTGATTAGATGGTGAGATGCCACCTCACGGGCTTTGGACACGTTACCAGGAGGGGCAGGTGCTGGAGTACATCGTGCTTATCAGCAGAGAGTCAGTGAAAGGAAGACCCTCAGGCGGTGGTGGACTGACACAGGGATCCCACACGGGGCTCAGGCACAGACCACGAGGACGACGCAGCCAGGGAGGCGGGGTCCTGTTGGACAGGGTCACTGTGTGCTAGCTGACTCGATGGGCCAGGCCATGAGAGCTTGTTCCCAGCAGTCGTTTCCCGCACTCTGGGATCCTAGGAGGGCCTTAACACCACGAGGGGCTCTCCTCCTACAGGCCATCTTCACGCTGCCCGCAGAGGTGGGGGATACTGTGGACAGGACGGGGCCTACATTTGGGAGCCACCTGCCTGTGGGAGCTCGGACCTGTCATAGCGTCTCAGCTGAGCCTGTGTAGTGGACAGGACTTGATGCCCACCCTCGGTGCAGAAAACGCCCAATCTAGAAAGCACTGAAGTCAGCAATGACCAGGAGCCTTTGGGGAGAGCCCTGGACAGGCTCCCGACAGGCTCCAAACTGGTCACTGGACTGCGCTGTGGTCACTGGGCTGCGCTGTGGTCACTGGGCTGCGCTGTGGTCACTGGGCTGCACTGTGGTTGGCCCCAGGCTAGGTGTAATGTCTGTGCTGTTAGGTGGCCTCAGGCTCCTCCTCCTCCTGCTAGTTGACTTTATCTTGGTCTCCGTGGCCTCTTGGCACTGCCTCCGAGGTGCTTGCGAGGGTGGCTGGGGGGCAGCGGGCTGTGTCGTCGGCCTCCGCTGTCTATGGACCCTGCAGAGGGAGGGAGACTTCAGCATGTGGTCAAGACACGGGCAAGCTCAGCCAATGTACCAGCGTGTCCCCACACTGCCTCGGGCAGAGCTGCTTGGAGACTTGGGGACTCATAGCCTGACTCCCCACCCCTCCTCCTCGTCCAGCCCTGCCTGTGTCCAGTGCAGTCTCACCCCTCCATCCAGGCCTCCACCCCTACCTGCCCAGAACCCTCTCAGGCAGCATGCCCCTGGAGGGGACGCTGGACTTCGCTCGCTACTGGTCACTTCCGTGCGCTCAGTCACTCTAGTACCTCCTACTGGAGAAGCCTTGGCACCTAGCTTCCCTAGCTCAACCTAAACTCACACCCTCTCCCACGTATTCCAGCTCAAGGCCACTATCTGCCGAGTTCCTGAGGCGACATCTCTTTACAGGAGAATCTGCCCATCGCCATCCCTCCCCCCCAGAGCCACTGGAGGGCTCCTCCCCACTGACCTTTCTGTTAGCCCAGCACGAAGCTGTACACCCCTCCTGCCTCTGATAGGCATGGGGGCTGAGTGGCAAAGGCACTGAACTTGACGGGGTGGGCTACACGTCCTGCTGCTATTGCCCTGATGTCCCCCCATCAGGTGAGGAGGTGAGGAAGGGACAGAGAGGTGACCACTAGAGGTGTCACTGCCCGTGTCCCCATAAGTGTCAGGGTGCACGGTGAAGAGGCAATGGGGTGGGCTATGCGTCCTGTCCTGTTAATATTGCCTGATGTCCACTGTCAAGTGAGGGGGTGAAGAAATAATGAGGTGTCCCTGACTGTGTTACCCACCCTCACCTCCATCAATGAGGTGGGAAGAAGGGGTCAGTGAGGTGACCCCTGAACTGTGTCACCCACCCCAAGATTCTCCTTCATATGTGAGGGTGCTTGGTGAGAAGGGCTGGTGAGGTAACCCCTGGACTGTGTCACCCACCCTGACATTCCCCATCAGGTGTGAGGGTGCTTGGTGAGAAGGGCTGGCGAGGTAACCCCTGGACCGTGCCATGCATCACGGCCTCCCCGTGGAGGACCTGGAGCACTCAGCAGCCAGCAGGTGGTCATCACTGCAGGTACGTGGGGGCAGGAGGCGGCACTGACCTCTGATGTCCCGGGGCAGGAGGGGTGCCCGGCCAGGGCCAGTGCTGCCCTGCCACATGGCGCTGGGGAAGGTGACGCCGACGTCCGGCACCTGGAGTGTGTTCTCATCTGCAAGTGAGACCACAGACATGGTTCATCCACATGATAGGACGTGCCAGTCCGTGGGGTATGTGACCCCTGCAATGGATTACAGAGCCCAGCAGAGGACGCTGTGGAGGACCACTGGGGAGGACAGCCTGGGAGAAGCAGCGAGTCTGAGCTCCGTCTCACAGAGCCGGCCCTGGCTGGTGGAAGGAGTGGATGGAGACTGTCCTCCTCGGGAAGCTGGACTTACAGCTACCACACTTTCCAAGAGGGCTGTTGTGAACCTTAGAGAGGACTTCTTGCTGGGACCCACTAGCCCAGGTGAACTCTGGCCTTCTTGTCCTCCTTGGGCACCCACAGCTGTGGCTGCGGCTGCACCCTCATATGACACCCCTCAGGGACTGGAGGCCGGCCAAAGACATCGGTCCAGGGCTTGGAGCAACCATCAGATTGGAATGGGCCACAGGGCAGCTCCCAGGAGCCCTGCCCTGCAGATGTTGTCAGCCCTCTTTCCAGCACAGGCCAGCACGGTGCCAGGCCAGGGAGAGGGATACTGGTAACTCCACTTCTCTAGAGGCTTTGACTGCAGCTGGCCCAGTGTACACACTCTTTCTTCAGGGAGAGGCCAGGCCAGCGGGGACGACACCATGGTGACTGTGCCACTGGCCTGGAGTATGACTCAGGCACGCAGTTTTGGCTCCATGGAGTCAGTTTACCATCTGGGTCCTAAACACACAGGCAGCATAAAGTCACCTAGGCCCCCGGCTTTCTTCCCCGTCTGTCCCAGTTCAGAACTCTGCTGAAGCCGGTCCACCATTGGTGACCCTACAGGTACCACCGGTGCCACAGCTCACAGCACACTGATGGGGCCACATGTCAGAGACCAGGGATGACAAGTATGTCTATTCCAAGCTTCCTGGAGCCAGGGCACCCCAACTCCACACACGGTAATTGTCCACCTTCACCCTAGACAGGGGCCGGTGTTAACACCACTTCCCCAGCAGGGTGCTGGCATCCTGCCTCTAGCCAGAAAAGAGGCACAGAATGGGACCCAAACCCCTGAACCTCTGAGGATTTCCAAGCATGTCTGCCTAGCCACCAGCACACTGTTGGTATCTTTCTTTTCCTTTCGCCATTTTTTAAGAAGCATGGCATCAGAAGAAGGAAAAATTTTTGAAAGCACAGCAGCCCCTGAGCATAGAGAGCATTTATCAGGGGGCCTCAGAGCCAGTGGCTTAAGCATTGGGCTGTTAACACTCAGTGTTTGATAACGGAAAGGTTGGCGGTTTGAACCCACCACCCGCTCCACGCGAGGAAGGTGAGGCAGCCTATTTTCATAAAGCTACACAGCCCTGAGACCCTGTGGGACAGTCTGCTCTGTCCCTGGGGTCTCCCTCCTGCATCAGAACAGCCTTGAGGGCAGGCGGTGCTGTGAACCTCTGTGACTGGGCAGCGACAGACATCAGGGAGGTGTGAATTTTTGAGTCAGGACCAGAGATTCCAGACCATGTGGTGAGGCCAGCCAGCCAGCAGAGTGTCTACCACCCTCCAATGTCTGTCCAGAGACACAAGATGTGCTAGTGGTGCAGTGGTTATGTGCTCGCCTGCTAAATGAAAGGCCAAATGGCTCACACAAAGACGAGAAGGTAACGAGGCAGGGAAACTGGAGTGCCAGAAACAGAACAGCTGGAAGCCAGACAGAATGAGGGAGAATGAGGACAGTGAACTGTGCATCTAATCTCAGTCTTTTGTGTGGAAATCATCACATGGGAACCACATTTGTTGTGTAAACTTTCACCTCACACACAAGAAAGCATGACTGAAGACTGAAGATGGGCTTGCAATCCCAAGAGGGAGGTATGTAATCCTTAGACCCCCTGGCTCTACCAAAGCAGAAAGAGAGTCTTTGTCCAGGGATAAAACGTAGAAAGCAGGAAGGAATGGGGGAAAGGATGTGTGGAAACGAGAACCATAGGGAAGGAGTGGGAGCAGTGCTGTCACACGGGGGGGGGGGGGTTATTGGTATCAACGTCACAAGTCAAAATGGATGAACTGTTGAATGGAAACCCAATTTGTCCTGTAACTACTGTTACAATTCAAGTCACAATAAATTTTTTTTAAATTATCAAAGAAAATCAAGGGCGCTCTGGTGGCCTAGTGGCAAGAAGCTGCACTGCAATCCCAAAGGTATGCGGTTCGAATCCACCAGATGCTCCGCTGGAGAAGGAGGGGCAATCTCCTGTGCCAGTCGGATCCAATTCGATGGCACACAACAAGGAAAATAAATACATACGTACATACATACACAAACAAATAATAAAAAATTTAAAAATTATCGAAGAAAATCAACAAGCTCTTTTTCCCCTTGGAATCTTACCTGCTTGGAGACTGAGGCTGGGCTTTATCTTCGCGGCCACAGGGACAGCTGGGAAAAAGCCCTTTCCGGACTTGGATGGCTGAGAGAGGGCTGCAGGGGGCGGCTGGCTCTCAGCCAGGTGCTCCGTGGCCTGTGGGGACAGTCCCACGGCACAGCTGGTGTGAGGGCAGGTGATAGAAGGGTGGGTGGGTGATAGAGGGCCTGGGTGACTGTGTGCTGGTCAACCACCAGCTGTGACCCCAGGGCTAATGCCAGCTTCCAGGACCCGCAGTGACCACTCAGGGGGACTCTTGCTCTCCTTCTCCAAGCCCCAGAGGACCAGTGGGCACTGACTGCTCTGCCTCTCTGTCCCTGTGCCCACCTTCTCCCTTCCATTGCCCCCTAAGGAGGGATCCTGGTGGCACAGTGGGTGAAGCGTGGGACTAACTGAGAGCTTGGCGGTTTAGCTTGGTGGTTTGAGCCCACCAGCAGGTTGCAGGGAGAAAGAGAAACAGCATAAAGTAAGATGCAATGTTGGGTTCGCACCCACAGCAACCTGCAGGGGCATCTGTGGGGCTGTGACCATCAGGGAAGCAGATGCCTGATGTCCCCCTGGACAGGCACTGGGGGGTTCAAACCACCAAGCGCCCTCTGCTGGCGATTAGCTGCTGCACCACCAGGAAAAGCACTGCCATTCATTTTTAGGAGAGACACCGGTGAGCGCTCCCAGACCCACAGAACAAGCGGCCAGTCCATACTCAAGGGCCAAGAACACCTGGCATCGGCAGGGCCAGAACTGACTCAATGGCCACTGACTGGCAACATCAGAGAGAGCCTGGGACCTGGCCAGACTGGGGTCCCGGGCACTGTGGGGGACTGGCCTGCTTGGATCCTTTCACATCTAGGCTTCTGCTGGAGCCATGAAGCCTCCTGTCCTCACACTGATTTTGACTCACGTGACCCCACGTGTGTTAGACCAGAACCAGGGTTTGGGAAGCAGGTCACCAGGCCTTTCTTCTGATGTGCCTTTACGTGGACTAGAACCTCCAATCTTTAGGTCAACAGCTGACCACGTGAATTTGCAAACTGCCCAGTGCCCCATGTCCCATGTGGATGCGTGCTGGCCCTGGCTACCTCAATGGCCACCCTTCTCTCCCAGGTCACTGGATGACCACGCACCGGTGGAAGGCCCCAGGTGAGCGAGGGGGAACGCTTCTTCCGGGCCCTCCTCTCCACAGACTGGTCCCTGCCTGGGCTGGCGTGAGGCTGCTGTCTGTCTCCTGCTGGGCCAGGCTCTGGGGAGACACTGGGCTTCTGGTCGCAGGGGTCAGAGGCCCCGTCCTCCAGGAGGTGGCGTGGGGAGCGACTGCAGCTGGCCTCTCGGTCCTGCACCTTGGAGCGGCGGGTGGCCGCGATGAGGGCGATGCTCTTGGTGCTCGAGGCCATCTCCCGAAGGGCCTGGGCACTCAGGGCAGGGGTGCCCGCCTCAGCCACGCAAGGGGCGCCCAGGTCCAGGCCAACTGGCGAGCACAGCTTGGAGACCAGGTCCTTCACACTCATGGAGCTGTGCTTCTGCAGAAGAGCAGTGGGAGGGTCTGGACACTGGCTGCTTGTGCTGGGGTCTCCAAGGAACAACCCCGACAGCCACTCAGTCCAGCACTCAGACTCAAGGAAGGACAGACCATCAGAGAAGGGGCACCCTGTTCCAGGTGACGCACACGTGATCTCAGGAGGAACCCAGGGCTCTGGGTCTGGGGTCCTGAGCTAATGATACCCCAGCTCCATGGAGCACTGAGGGAGATCTTTCCCTAACCCAAAGCCAGAGACACTGACTTCACTCCGACCAGGGTGTCCTGACACGTGTCACAGACACAGTATGTCGCAGAACAGCGCCCACGGCTCTCACAAGCAGACAGGCAGGCCTTGCTTCCAAGGTGCCTCCGTGAGGGTGTGAACCTGCAACTTTCAGTTAGCACCAAGTGTGTTAACCATGGGACCCCTGGGGACAGAGAGTGAGACACGAGCTTCCCCACATGACAACTGAGACAGCTGGGCTCAGCAAATGCCCCAGTCAGGAGGGATGACCCAGCCAGCAAGTTCCAATGGGGTCCACTTGTGCCTCCCTGCCTCTACACAACATGCCCACACCCTCCCAGAGACATGGTGAAGTCCACGAGAAACATCACAGACCAGCAAATGGACACAGTTCAGCCAGGCAGACTGTTCTCGATGCAAGCCCGTGTGAGCTGTGCTGACCACGCACTGCCCCTGCCACCAGCTCTGGCTCTGCGGCCACTGCAGACTCTTCATGGTCCCCTGTCACTGTGTTACCCGCTGGAAAGGCTCACCCCCAGCCCCCAGCACAGCTGAGAGGAAGAAGTGAAACACAAAGGTCCACCTTGGGCTCTGGGAGAGCTGACTGGGCAGTGCACACAGGGCCAACTCGATGGCGCCCAGAGACAACCATCTTCACCATCACTTAGCAAAGACCTTCCTTCTGGAAGCTTCTCTCACCCTCCTGTAACCTAGCAATGGGAATCCTGACTGAGAGCACACTGAGTAAGAGAAGGCCCCCAGCCCAGGGCCCAGTAAGGTGTCCACCCACCTCGTGAATAGGGGGGGTCAGCAGGATTCGGACGGATGATGGCGGGAGGAGCGAGTCCTGCTTCCCTGGCTTCTTTGAAGGCGTGACTTTGGATGAACTGTAACCGTCACTGTGGGTGGAATGCAGAGGTGTAAAAGGGTGAAGGCAGGCCCTGGGCCCTGAGTCTACGATCACAGTGGTTACAGGCAAGTGCCAGGAATGCTGGCCACACTCATCAGTGGTGGGCAGTCTGTAAAGCGGTCAACTGACAAGTATACAACCGCGTGACTTGGCAGTTACATGATGCTGTAACATGATAGGTGATGATGTAACTTGGCAGCTGTGCAGGGGCGTGACTTGGTGGCCATTTAATCATCTCCATGACGTGATCTGTGCTGTGTAAGGGGATCCGGGTGGGTCGCACCACCCTTCAGCTCAGTCTTGATCTGACATATGGGGCCTTCGCCTGGGGTGTAGCCTATGTCACCCTTTATCTAGCAGGAGAGAAAAGTGGGAAAGGAGATCGAGACCTACTGCCACCAACAAAGAAGAGACAGGCCAGAGCACGTCCTCTGGAACCAGGTCCCTGAACTGAGAACCTTCTAGACTGCGGGGAGGGTCAGTGCCAAGACGCACGGAGACCCCACAGGACTCCAGGCCCAGAAAAGCTGAAGATGAGGACCATCCTCCAGAGCCGACGGAGACAGACGGCCCCTCTCACAGCTGGCACCTGGATCTGGAACGCTGGCCTCCTAAACCGTGAGAAGCCTACCATATGCCTGAACACTAGCCATGGCATTTTTAATTGCTTCCTATTGATTTCCCATGGACTGCCAAAGGAACAAACCAAACAAACTGTCCTAGGAAGTACAGCCCGGGTGTTCCTTAGAGGCAACGGTGATAAAGCTTTAGACTTTGGGCAGGTTGTAAAGATTGGCCAGTTCTCAGAAAATCACATCCTGCTTGGAAAGGTGGAGAGCCAGAGAGAGGAAGACCTTCCACAAGACGGGCTGACATGGTGACTGTACCAACAGGATCAAGTATCTCACAGATTGTCGATCGTGAGGATGGTACCAGACAGGCAAGGCTCAGAGCTGCTGTGCACGGGTCGTTACCAGCTGTAGCTGACTCAACAGCACTTAACAACAACAACAAATCATGAGAGTAAGTTCCTGTTAAAGCCGTCCACCTGGGCTACTTGTTACAGCAGCTCAAGACAATGCAGATAAAAATGATAATAAAAAGCGGTTACAGAGAGAAACACATAAAAAGAAATCAGACAGATATGTCTTGGAGAAAGTACAGCCAAAGTGCTCCTTGGAAGCAAAAATCATAAAGCTTTATCTTACAAAGATTCTCACCACTGGGCCAATTGGCAGCATTCAGCATGGATGGTGAAGATATTGACATAGTGAACAGTTTTAGTTTACTTGGCTCCACAGTCAACACTCTTGGTAACAGCAGCCAGGAAATCAGGAGACGAATTGCATTGGGAAAGTCAGCTGTGAGGGACCTCTCAAGAGTACTGAAGAGCAACAATGTCAGACTGGAGACTAAGGTGCACCTGATCAGGACCATAGTCTTTGCAATTACATGCTATGCATCAGAGAGTTGGACAGTGACTAGAGATGATAGAAAGAGAATTGATGCCTTTGAGCTGTGGTGCTGGAGAAGAGTGTTGAATATACCATGGAATGCTAGGAGAACAAACAGGTTCTGTTTTCACTGTGTTCACTGCTGAGTCGGAACTGACTCATAGCTGACTCTTCAGTAGGCTTTCACAGACAGTAAGGAGACATGTGAGGAGACTGCTCATTTTTCTCCCACAGAGCAGAAGGTCCAGGTCTGACAGCTGAGACTCCTCAGGTGACAGGTGAGTTACCTGTCTGTCTCCAGCAGCACTGGCGGCAGCTCAAACTGGGCGCCCCACGGGAGGTCCTTCCTGTCGTCCAGCTGGTCTCTGCCCGAGTCCTCCGGAGGGGGAGAAATGTTCAGGACAGAGCCGTCCTGTGAGCAGATGGGGCAGAGGGTAGAGGCTGGTGAGGACACAGCAGGCTGTCGGTAACCAGGTGTCCCTGAGGGGGGCGGGAAGGTCCCTGTCCTCCCTGGCAGTACACGAGCTCCTTCTCCAGCTTCTGGCAGTTTCCTCTCATCACCAAGAAGACCCTCCACCTGGATTCCTGTGGACCATGAGCATAGGCCGGACCGTGCTCCGGGGGATGCGCCCCCCGCAGTCACAGCAGGACCGTCAGGCACCCCTCAAGCCCGCCTCCTTCCGTGCCTTGTACAGATGTGCTCTCTAAACCCTTCAACCCTGGAACAAAGCTCACTGTCATAGCTCCACTTCCACACAGGCAACAGAGGCCTTTGAGGTGGCAATGAATAGCAGGGGCACTCACTCATTAGAACAACTACCCGCATAAAGTAGAAAAGGGTAGCACTTGCTCAAGGATAAAGCTTAGAAGACAGGAAGAAAACGGAGGAGTGGAAATGGGAGGTGTGGGGATGGACTGGGGAGAGTGCTGTTACATTGTGAGAATTGTAATCAATGTCACAAAACAAAATATGTGTGAATAGTTGAATGGAAACCTAATTTACTCTGTAAACTTTCACCTGCGTTAATAATAAAAATTTTTAAAAACCCCGTCATGCTCCACAGGCTTTCCTAGGCTGAATGACATCTGTGAAGAATCTGAGATACTCCCCAGGCAGCCAGGAAAAGTCTGCTTCACAAGAGAAAGTGTTGGGGCTTTGCGTCCCCACTTTGGGCGTGTTGTCAGGAGGTGTAGCTGTTGTGTTGTTATGACTCACCACCACCCTATAAACAACAGATCTGAACCCTGACCGAGGGCCAGCCGGAAAGATGGGCGGTCAGCACAGTGACAGGCGATGAGGATGTTTGCCCACAGGCTGCTGTGACGAGCATGGTGCAGGAGCCAGCGCTCAGCCCGGCTCTTTGCCCACAAGGGCTGCTACGAGTCTGAGTTGACTCATCAGCCCTCACACCACCACAGTGCCCAGAGGAGCCCTGGTGGCACGGTGGCTGCTAAGGGAAAGATCCGCGGGTCAGACCTGCCCTGCGCTCTGTGGGAGTCAGCTTCCACAAGGGGCACAGCCCTGGCAATGCCGTGGGCGGCCGGGCGGTGCAGCCCTGATCTCCAGGCCCTGCAGGGAGTCGAGTGGGCTGTGAGCAGGGGTGTGAATTTGGTCTCTGTGACAGAAGCACTATGTGGAAATAAGCCTTTCTTGTCCTGTTAAAGAGAACACATGAGGCCTGCAGGTCCTAACCCTGATCCCTTCTGAGAGAGGAGGCCAGAATAGGCACGCACAGGGGAAACAGCATGGCAGGTCAGGGAACCCCAAGGAGCCCCGGCTGCGATGAGAAAGGACCCTCTGGAGCCAAGGCCTGACGGGACGAGCAGCTGTGTTAGTGACTATGGTCATGATTAGTGTGCCAGGAGCCACAAGCCATGGGCAGGAGTGCGGGGCACACTCACACGGGGCACACTCACGCGGGGAGGACCCACGCGGGGAGGACCCACGCAGGGCGCACTCACGGGGAGCACTCACGCGGGGAGGACCCACGCAGGGCGCACTCACGCGGGGAGGACCCACGCAGGGAGGACCCATGCGGGGAGGACTCACACTGGGAGGACCCACGCGGAGTGCACTCACGCGGGGAGGACCCACGCGGGGAGGACCAATGCGGGGAGGACTCACACCGGGAGGACCCATGCGGGGGCGCACTCACGCGGGGAGGACCCACGCACGGGAGCACTCACGCGGGGAGGACCCACGCACGGGAGCACTCACGCAGGGAGGACCCACGCAGGGAGGACCCACACAGGGCGCACTCACGAGGGTAAAACCCACGCAGGGTGCACTCACACGGGAGCACTCACACAGGGAGGACCCACGCACGGGAGCACTCACACGGGGAGGACCCACGCGGGGAGGACCGATGCGGGGAGGACCCACGCACGGGAGCACTCACGCGGGGAGCACTCACACGGGGAGGACCCACCCGGGGAGCACTCACGCGGAGCGCGCCGGTCATCAGCGAGTGGAGCAGCAGCAGCCGGTTGAGCGTGCCCTCGCCCAGCTCCTGCGAGTACAGGCGGTACTGCTTGTCCAGGGGGTCGGGCACCAGGAGCCCTCCGTCTTCAGGAGTGGGGAGAAGCGGATGTTAGAAAGGGGGCGCGATGCACCCAAACAGCAAACCCACTGCATCTAGTCAATTCCGAAACACAGCGACCCTGTGGGACAGCGCAGAACCTGCCCGCACGGCATCTCACAGCAGCAGCAACTTGTGGTACCTGTCAGAAGTGCCTTTAAGCACCTGTAACAAACCCTGTGGCACAACGTTTAAGCACTGGGCCATTAACCAAAAGGTCAGCAGTTCAGACCTACCCAGCTGCCCCATAAAAGAACTGGCGGTCCACTCCCGGAGATCAAAACCAAGCCACGCCCACTGCTGGCCAGTCAGTTCTGACCCCCAGGGACCCTCCAACAGGCTTGACACTGTAAATCACATGGGAGGAGAAAACCCACCCTTCTCCCGCAGTGAACCCACTGTGAACTGTGGGGTCTACCGCACCTGGAGCCTGTGTGAGAGGACAGGTAGCTGGCCTGGGAGCTGGCACCCACTGTGCAAGAGCCTCTAGCACCCACCCCACCATGTGTGGTCCTCGGGCACCCACCACACCGTGGATGAGCCTCAGGCACCCACCTCTCACCGTAGATGAGCCTTGGGCACCCACCCCGCCGTGTGTGGGCCTCGGGCACCCACCGTGGATGAGCCTCGGGCACCCACC